GTACCCAAGATAATATATTTTCATAATAAAAATATACTTATTTTTCTTTTTCCACAACTTCCTTCTTAATTATTTTTCTTAATCTGAACAACGTAAAAATTTGTTCATTTCTTCCTCATTCTTTTTTCTCTAATACGTTTTCCTACTTCACTTTTGTTTTGTTTTTGTTTGTTTTTTTTTCTTTTATAAAATCTTTCATCATCTAATCAAAGTGGAAGACTTTATAAGTCATCTTGATTAGCTTAATTACAAGCTGCTCGATTTGAAAAATAAAATAAAAAGTTATATAGTGTGATAGGGTTAGGTGACTTAATGCCCTATGTTTCCTTGAGAATCCAAATCCATCAATTTCATCTACGACGTGTATGGATTCGTTAGCTTAATAAATAAGATGAAGTCAAGTTCATATGCAGCGTGATGAATCGAGTCTATTCCAATACATGTATCTAAGAAACCTATTCTTTTCTTTCTTTATTTTGCTCTAACTTGTAATAATATATACGAGGAATGCACATCATGCATAATTGCAACAATTACTATTATATAGTAAAGTTTTATATGAACTTCAAAAATGTCATTTTCTCCACAATGCTTCTAGTTTTATAAAAGAAAGCAAATGACAAAATGGCGGCAAATAGTTAACTAGGTATGTATGATAATGATAAATTATTCAGTTCTATATATATACGAATAAGATCACACAATGACATTCTTTTTAAAGAAATTAGTTGTTAAATGGATTTCAAACCGACTAAAAGTGACGAAAATTTATTTTTATCCCCTCACAACTTGACACATGTTTTTGTTAAAATATTAGTATGAAGCCATTTGTACCATCTAGAACTTCTTCGCTTTTTTAAATATAAACTCACCCGTAATTGGATGCACATGGACATTTCATGTCAAAATCACCCACTTGCGGTTATTTTAATTTAATTGTTTTATATTAGACTCTATAATGTGTATAGTCAAGAGTGAAAAAAATAATCAACCGATAAAAACATTTTTTTTAACTATAATATTAATACGAGATATTCACGGTTAAAAATAGTGACTAACTATAAGTGTACACAATATGTGTATTTCTTTTGCAACATAGATTATTTCATGTTCAAGGTCAATATGTTAAAAATAGTGACTAACTATAAGTGTACACAATATGTGTATTTCTTTTGCAACATAGATTATTTCATGTTCAAGGTCAATATTCAAATATTGGACAACTTAATTAAGAGACATAAGCCGTGTAACGACTTATCAGGTCTCTACATGTATTTCCTGCTCAACAACTAATAGCGAAAACATACATTTAACTATCTAGGATGAACATATAAATAGTATCTAAATATTTGTGCACTAAATATATATGAAGATGAATCAAATGACTACAAGAATGACTTTTGGTAAAATTATTCTACTCAATAACTCATAGTATATGTTGAATTTGAACAATCCAATTGTTAAATTAAAATATGCATAGATCAAGTTTACAAATTTTAAAAATTTTAAAAAATTATTTGATACTTCGTTTCATTAATTCAAATTGATAGATGATTATAAAAAAATTTATACATTGATTTGAATCTATATAACAAAGTATTATATGATTTTCATTTTTTTTAATTTGTAGACTTGATCTATATATTAATAATTTTTAATTTAATAGTTGAATCTTTAAAATTTTATATATAATATGAGTTATTGAGTGAAGTAAATCTACCAAGAGTTACTCTTAGAGTCATTTGATCTCCTCTCTCTATACACACATAGTAATTTGATATTAAAAGTATAAACCTAAGTTGTCGGTCAAGCAACATTACAAAATAACTACCAACCAAAAGTAGCACCAAGTCACACTGCCATTCAACATAACTCTCAACTTAACCTCTTCCTCCAACCCATCCATGCTCTGCTTCCATATAAAAATATGGTCGTCATAGAGTCACAATCCAATCACAAGAAAATATGTAAGAGTAAATTAGTAATCAAAATAATCAACAAGTATATAAGAATTATCTAACTATATTACCAACATCAACATATAACCACATCATACCATTCATCATGGTTCTCACTTTAACAACAACAACACTTCAATGTAATATTCAACAACCATTTTAAGGTAAATAACTTAACCACACAATAACAACTTTAATTTACATCATAGTATTGCATCTCATCAATAATATAACATAACATATGAACAACACAACTCAATCAAAGCATTATATGCTTAACACAACAATTATATGCATCGTCATACATTCAACTAAAAGATCTCTTACAACACAGGTGAGCAGCGTAAGTGATTGGATCCTACCAAACTAACTATAACAACATTATGATCTTTTGGGCTAACTAGATCAATAACTAAGTTGGATAAAAATCCACAACACCATGGTTTCTCAAATTTTGTCATTTAAACTAGAAAAGTCTAGTATTTTTGTTAAAGTAGAATAACTTAGGTGTGAGTCTATCACAATTTTAACTTGCATAACTAAGCCTCCTATAGGATTAGCCCATCAATTACCCTCCAAATACTATTCCATTCTGGTACTTAGTTAGGGATTATGACCTTCAATCTTGTACCTTACTCGATTTGGTCACTTTGTGTACGTATAGCTCGACTTGGCTCCCATACGAATAAATATTTTGGTCACTTTATAATCAATATAGTTTGACGTGACCCCTATATTATGGTCACTTATAAATAATATTGTTCGACCTTACCCTCAAATCACATCAACTAAGATTTTAAAGGAGACTCAACAATCTACTTTAAGAGTCAATTTCTTAAGAAGAGTTTTTAAGAATTGGACTCATAGAGCATCACAACATAATATTCTCACAATAGGATATTCAACTTTTAAAACTATCTCTCTTCTAGTTCTAAGTCAATCAACACAACTCAATATAATGCCTTAAGCATTCTCAATATAACCACCTCAAAATTTTAACATGCAACTTAACTTACAACTAGCAATTAATAGTGAAATCATCAATATACATCATCTTAGATAAATGTATAAAGAACTAACAACATATATCAACATACAACATATAAGAGATTCAATTATCATACACATTCAACACTTAGTCAAGAAAATCAACTTATTATCATTAGGTAACTGATGTCTGATGCCAATCTACTCACACCTGGTGTAAATGAGGCAAAGAGCCCCTAGGTCAATCACGTGGCGACAAAACCCATGCATGACATCACTACATTGGCATCTGCTATTGTTTGGATAGAGAACTTCTATCTTGATCACACTTGATGACACTCAACTAGGGCTTGACATCACCAAATCAGAGATTTCCAAGGGCATCCATTCCAATTACCATTCAACCCACGTTCAATGTGACCAAGTCAAAGAGCTTTCCTCTAACTTATGTTTAACGCTACTAATCCTATGTCCGACGTTAGTTATGCAAAGAGTCTCTAACCTACATCACGCCTAGCGCCTTTAAGTTGCATATGATGTGATGTTGATTTTTAATTAGTTTAAATTTTTGTCGTTAGTGACATAGAATTTTCGGTCACTATTTTCGATCACTATTTTGACTTTTTCTTGTAGTGTTGGCAGAATAACAAATTTGACTCTCTTTGCCTAAAAATTAGAAAAACCAAGCATGCAATGGCAGAAAACACATCTACACGACATATGTAGTTCATTACTCACCAAAACAACTACATGCAACCAAGAATCAATCATCATTCACCAAAATCTCCCCAAACATATTTAAACTCCCGTAAAACCTTACAACACAAGAATTTCATCACTTAATCATCAACACAACCACAATTTATGCTAGAACAATCAACATTCAACTTTATCAATCAACAAAAAATTAGGTTTTAACTTCTCTTACCTCAAAATCTGAGAGAAAAGGGAAGAAGGAAGAAGAAAATGAGCCTTGTGCTATCTCGAAGAAGCTCTGCACAACAGTTTGATCTATGACATTTATGACATTATTATGCTTTTAGGAAGGAATAGAGGTCACATGTGAAATCAGAATGAAGTAGGGTCATTTATATATGGTTCTAGAGTTCCTCTCTCTAGATCATCTCTCAAAATTTTCTTAAGATTTAACTTATGAAGCTGAAACCAAGAGGAAACTCTTATATAGCTTCCCCAATAGGACAAACTTAACCTCTGCTTAGAAAAATTCTTAAATAACTAAAATTTATGATAATTTCTATATTTTTAGAATTTCTCAACAATTAAACAACTAATCACAACAACAAATAATTAATAAAAATAATAATTATCAATAAAACTTACAATTCTACAAGTTGTTACCATTTATGTAAATAATGTTGGTTATTGAAAAATATAAATGTATTTATTAAAAATAAGTTAAAAATAAAATGATAGTAATAATTATATTCATCTAGCCATAAAGAAATAAACGAAGATAGGATCAAAAATGTTAAAAGAAAAATGTGTATAATTAAACATTTTCCTTTCAACTATACTATAAACACTTGGTCGCTCTGTGATAACGACAGCATTACCTACTCAAGAAAAAGGTGTAAAAGATATTTGAAAAAAAAAAACCTACATATAGACGTATTGTTACAAAGATCCGATGTATTTTTAAATTCATATAGCTCTTCACCTTGTCCCATATAGCAACTAGCAAGTCTTTAATACAACACTTTAATAAATCGAATTTTCTCTTTGCCTATCCCTCGTGATTTGATAACTGTTCAAATGAAAAGATTGGAACAAAACAAATCACATCACGGAAGATCACAGAGGCAAACAACTTATAAGAAAACACAGCTTTTCAACTACGCTATCTAATAGCCATCAAAGAAATCAAATCTCACATCATTATATTTATGGCCCTTATATAGATGAACCTCAAATATATATGCTTAAAATCAGCGTTTCATTTTCATTTGACCTACTGCTATATTGCGTAACACGTGAAAAGGAAACCATGATGTGAAGTTGATCCATGGCGATGAAGAACCAAAATCAAATAGAATGTTTGAACAACATGATCCTGAATATTATTTGTATGCCCAAGAGAATATTCAAACATAGGGACAATAATAGATGTTCAAATTCTGCATAGAATGTACAAGTCAATTAAAGATGGAATACATAGATATCACTTATTATTCCAAATTTCCAAGTAAGAGCACTCAATAATAGAGAAACAATTTACTAATTGATGATACCATTTTCTTCCATTCCTTCACCAAGTTTGTCACTAGCTTTACTCTCTTGTACATTAGATTCCTTCCTTTCTGTCTCAGCCTTCTTTTTCTCTGCATCCTCCTTGGATATCTCAAGAGCTTGAATCAAACTATGCAAGTTAGATTCCACTTCTTCATCCAGTGATTTTGGCATGAGATTCTCAGCAACATCAGCAGGTGTCATCTTAGTCTCCTCCAACAACTTCTCTATTCTAGAAAACAAGTGATGAGACTCAACATTCAAGTAGTTCTTTGCAAGCACCTTGAATGTTTCATAGCAACAATAGGTCAACTCTATGTGCTTATCCATCCTCCCTCTCCTAATCAAAGCAGGATCAAGCTTCTCCACAAAGTTTGTTGTGAAAATCATGATCCTCTCTCCTCCACAAGCTGACCAAATCCCATCTACAACATTCAACAGTCCAGAAAGTGTTACCTTACTCCCGACATCATCATCATCATCCTCATCACCCCTTTTAGTAGAACTCTTTTCTTTTCCCTTAACTTTTTCCGTTTTCTTCTTCCTTTGACCTGTTAGATCAAGCGAGCAATCAATGTCCTCAATCACTATAATTGCCTTACTTGAAGTGTTGATCAACAATTTCCTCAAATCTGAATTGTCCTTCACTGCTGTCAACTCAAGATCATACACATCATAGTTCATGAAATTAGCCATAGCAGCAATCATGGTTGATTTCCCGGTACCTGGAGGACCATACAGCAAGTACCCTCTCTTCCAAGCCTTACCAACTTTGGCATAGTAATCTTTCCCACTTTTGAACCTCACAAGGTCATTGATGATATCCTCTTTCATCTTTGGCTTCATTGCAAGTGTGTCAAAAGTTGCAGGATGCTCAAAAACCACATGACTCCACCTTGTCTTGTTGTTAGTGTAAAGCTTGAGTTGCCTATTCTTGATCTCAATAGCCTTTGCTTCTTCGAACAAGTGTTTGAGGTAAGACTCAGTGATGAGGGTTCTATAGCGCTTGTGGAAGGTGAGCTTGTAGTACCTTTTCTCATCTGAAAAAGGGTACCAAGAGAAGGTGTTTGTTCTTGGGGTGATTTTATAAGAACCCCACCAAACTTTCACTCCTTGGAACTCTTCTATGATTTCTTCGTTGTCATCCATGCTAAGGATTAAAGGGGTGCTTGTGTCTTTCACTTTAACCACTTCACCTTTGAGCTTTGTGGCTCTTTGTGAAGAGTGTTCACTGAGGTAGATTTTGATGGAAGTGTAGGCCTCACTCTTCATGAGTCTTTCACCTGTGAATTCGTGAAAGGTGATTCTGATGTAAGGGTACACCAAGGAGAAGAACTTCTTGGTGTACATTTTGAGATGGGCTTGAAGAGCAGGGGGGAATAAGCGCGTGAACATGGCGGATATGAACATCACTGAGGCCATGAACGACCCTAGCTGTGTCCACGTTTGAGGCATGTTGCTTGATATCAGACTCACTTCACAAGCTTCTCATTCATCTGTGTCTGCAAGTCAGTGATTGGACTCAGTTTTTGATGTTATGAAGCGTTTCTGTTGTATATTTATAGTGCTATCATGTTTATAATTATAACTCGATGGGGTAGTTTTTAATGTAAAGAACAAAATAATTATAATTTACCCAACAAAGATGCTCTATTTATTATAAATTAATTCTTAATTATCAATTTTAAAGCATCAGATCATGTTTCAAGAAAAATAATTCTTAAACAAGAAAAATAATTAAATAACTATTAAACATGATAAATCTATTGATATAAAATTGTTTCAAGTTATTAAATAATTTTGAATTCCAATATTAAATTAATAACTGTCTTAATTAAATATTTGTTTGGAAAGAGAAGTTTTTTCCATTTACGATGATTTTATTCTACTTAAACAACTGTGTAAAGAAAACTTGTATTATAAAAAAAAACAATTTGTTGAAGTTGAATAAAATTGTAGTAACAAAATTCTTCATCATCCCATTGTATATTAAGAATTTGAATTTCAGAATTTAGATTTAAAACTAAAGATATGACAATTACTAACCGGTTCACGAACATGTTTAATTAATTTTTAAAGAGAAACATGATAGGGGCTTTTTTGTTTTTTCTTTTTATGTTTTAGGGGGTGAGATTGTTATGAATTTGGATTCTCTTTCCTCTCTCAAATAAAGTTGTTGTTGTTATTGTTTTTTTTTTTTTTACATGTCAAATAAAGTTGTGTTGATGAATAAAGACCTACTATAATTTTGAGATATACTTGATAGAAATTGAGTGACAGAGACATATGAATGCGCTAATTTCTTTGGAAGCTTCGTAACGATGAAATTTCCGTGTGATCCAGTTACTTGGTGGAGAAGGGAAGACCTTAAGAAACAGAAGTCGTTGGTCAACAGCTTTTCTCTCGTTCTTTTAAAATACAAGTTGGCTACATATATATAGTATGTCTATTCAGAGAAAGAAAAAAAATGTTTTTTTTTTAAATTTTGTTTTTAAAATTTTAGAAGTATTTTCATAAACTTAAAATTATAACACATTCTAACATATTAGTTTTAAAATAACTTCTGTTGATAAATCTTATTGAGAATCTTTAATGATGTTCTTTCTAATCACATTTTTGTTTGGTTACATGAATTAAATTCGAGACTAAAGGAATCATTTTTAATGCTACTATATAGAATAATTAATGTTTTTTATTTATTTATTGTGATGATGAAGAAGGTATGAAAATAGTATATTGAATTGCATTTGTTAGGACTAAGGCTCATAGCATCACTCTTATGTTTTAATTATTTGTATTGAAAGCAGGTTGGAGGTAGGAATAGTTGAGAGGGAGTCAATTAAAAATTAAACTTGATCGGGAAACATTTAAAAAAAAAAAAGAAGATTGTGCTTAAATAATGACAATTTTTCAGAAAGTAGGGAAAATAATATTTTTTTTTATCTTATAATAAATATTATTTCAAGTTTTTTTTTTACACGAAAAAAAAATAATAAATAAAAGACAATAATAATTTTATTAAATTATAATCTTACTATTAAAAATAATGCAACACGGATATTAAGGATATAACAAATAGGTTAAAGCTTAACAAAAAATGACGAAAACAAGAAAATGAGATGAAAAAATATTTAATATACAAAAAGTAATAATAGAAAAAGAAAATGTTTAATGTGTGTCTCAAACTTTAAATTATTCATCCTTGTATAATTTGGTTCCAAAAAAAAAAATCCTTATATAATATTTGTGAGTTTATCAATCCTTATATAATTTTTATAATTTATAAAGTTTATCCCATTTGAAATGATTAACAATAAATAAGTCTTTAATTTATTTCTATATAATTATAATCAAATTAATATAAAATTAATAAAATAATTTATTACAATTTCAATCCTTGAAAATGACAATAATAAATTAAGAAATTATTAAAGAAGAAAATAAATTATAGTTAAATACTTTTGTCAATTATAAATAATAAATTTATTTTTTTTCCTAGCAGAATTTGTAAGTGTTCTAATAGTAAGATAACGTCCTCATTGCTCTAATATCGGTGGTGATGATAGCACTTACAAAAACATTTTAACAATAAGATTAGTTTAGAATTATACATGGTGTCCATATATAATTGTTTGATTTTATCTCTAAGTTTAAAGATAATATTTTATGATATCTTAGAGATTTTATTCTTATTAAGCGAAAATATTATTATAATAAATGAAGATATTTTGTTAAGTAAATATTATGTGCTTTGAGATATTCATGTCAAGATATTATTAGAAGTTAATTTTCTAAGATTTCACATTATGATGATAAGTTGAAGGCTTAATGTAGACGAACATAAGAAGATCAGCTCAATACATTTTTTATTTTTAGAATTTAAAATTAATATTTTACTCTTATAATTTTGTAGCAACCTCGGTCGCTACGGGACGGCGAAAAATAAATTGAAAAAGAGGAGTCGGTACCAATGTTATTTTTTACGGAAAAACATTTGAAAAACCATAAAGTAGAAAATAGTCTACGAAAACCAAATTTTTGGGTTCGGGAGTCGATTACGTGTGAGGAAGGTATTAGCACCTCACAACGTTCGTCCTAAGACGATTACCTTTAATTAATTAAACTAATTATTAATAATTTGTAAAATATTTATCTCACTAAAATGATCAAATATATTTTATTTAACTAAACTATCATTGTATATATATATATATATATATATATGTATATATATATAAAAGAGTTAAAATTATTATTGTTATATAAAAAGGAAAATAATATTTTTTATTTTTTTAGCTCGACAAGATTTATTTCTTGCTCCTACGTATCTTCATGTGTAATGAAGAATCAGAGTCACGTAGTTCTTTGTAGAAAATGTTTGTGTGTTGATATTTTTTATTTAAATTTATTTTTGTTAAATATAGGATTCTTGAACTGTCTCAGCTCATTCACCCTAAAAATATAAAATTGACTAAGGTGTACACCAAAGTCAATTCAATAAAATTATAATTATAATTATTGTTATAGATGTTATGATCCTAAAAAATTTCTTGGTTAAACATTTTTGTTTTTGGAGAAAAAATTTAAAGATAAGCTGTCACAACTTGTACTTTAAATTCAAAGGTTAAAAAGATGTCACATCTAGTTAACCATTCCTCCAATAAAATTTTTGATACAATAATTTCATATATTTACATTAAATATTGTAACACTATATTTTGGTATTTAATCACATTTTGAATTTAAATAAGAACTACTGACAGATATAAAAATAAATAAAAGGAATGAGTTTAATATACTCACAATTCTTCGCTACAGTAGCGGTAACTTGCTGGTCTCTTCCTTTGGGTTCCCCCTGGTCCAAGGTGGAGATATGTGTGTGGGTGTGTGTAGGTGTCTTTGGGAAGGGGAAGGCCCGCTATTTATAGACTTTCAGGAGGGACCGGAATGGCCCGTTCTGAATCCGGAACGGCCCGTTCCGGGGTTGCAATTTTACTCACAACGGCCATTTTCGGAACGGGCTGTTCCAATTTCGGAACGGCCCGTTCTAGACTAAAATTTTTAGGTATTTTGGTAGTTCGAGAACGGCCCATTCTGTGCTAAAAATTACAGGTCCTTTTTTAAGGTTGGAACGGTCCGTTCCAGTTTGGGAACGGGCCGTTCCAGTTTCTGGGAACAGCCCGTTCTAGGTTTGAAATTTTATGTCTTTTTGAAAGGTTGGAACGGCTCGTTCTGGTCTAGAAATTTTAGGGCTTTTTGGAATGTTGGAACGACCCGTTCTGGGCTTGAAAATTGAGATCTTTTTGGAAGGTTGGAACGGCCCGTTTTGAATCCAGAACAGCCCGTTCCGAGCTAGAAATTTAGCTCTTTTTGAAAGGTTGGAACGACCCGTTCTGAATCTAGAACGGCCCGTTCCGGGCTAGAAATTTTAGGACTTTTTCAAAACTCATCACGAAAGTTCCAATTGGTCCAAAATGAAGAAGGTCCTTAAGAGGTTATGGTCACGCTTCTCCACCATCTTCAAGGGTGCCCCTGCTCAGTAAATCAACAATATGCATATGTATTACTAACCTTTCTTTTCAATAATCATTTCTTTCTCTCTTCCACACGTTCTTAGTAATAGTCGTTTCCATGGTTTTAAATTGTGGTTGCGGTCGCGGTTGTGATCGCAGTTACAGTTACTGCGGTTGCGGGTATTGCGAGTATTGCGAGTATTGCGATGCGGATTACGGCTGTTGCGGTGTGAAATTATTAATTATTTGCACTAAATATAAAAAAATTGTGACTGTTGCGGCTGTTGCGGCTGTTGCACTTAATAATTTCACACCGCAACAGCCGTAATCCGCATCGCAATACTCGCAATACTCGCAATACCCGCAACCGCAGTAACTGTAACTGCGATCACAACCGCGACCGCAACCACAATTTAAAACCATGGAAACGACTATTACTAAGAACGTGTGGAAGAGAGAAAGAAATGATTATTGAAAAGAAAGGTTAGTAATACATATGCATATTGTTGATTTACTGAGCAGGGGCACCCTTGAAGATGGTGGAGAAGCGTGACCATAACCTATTAAGGACCTTCTTCATTTTGGACCAATTGGAACTTTCGTGATGAGTTTCAGTATCTTGCAATGTCTTAGGCCTAGATGCAGCAGTAGTATCAGTGCTGCCTTCAATAGAAACTGCAGTGGCTTGAGAAGGAGGAGGGTAGTTGAGATCAGGCAGAGCAGGTTGGTCGAGATCAAGAATATAAGGCCTTGCCCTTGGAGTTGTGCCACGCTCCTCCATTCCCTTGCTCTTAGTCACAAGAGTGTTGTTGCTGTTGTTGTATCCTATCCCCTCACGTACACCCTCTTCCTTTCTTGCTTCTCACTTGTATGTCTAAACTAGGTGTATGAGTGTAAATTTATATGCGAATGGAGGGAAACTTTTTGTGTCATAATATTGTTGAAAAGAAATCCCGTGCGGGTGGGGGGACATACACTCATCCTTTCCCGTACAATAGTAGA